GAGCCGAGATCGTGCCACTGCACTCTAGTCTGGGTGACAGAATGAGACTCTGTCTCAAAAAAAAAAAAAAAAAAAAAGGTGGAAGGGGCTTGGCCTAGACCTCAGCATGAGCCACATAGTCCTTAGGTCTTACCTTCCTACAGGTAAGACCCAGAGATAACCACTACGATAACTCCACATTTGTTTGTCCTTTGGACAAAAGAAAATCACAGTGTTTGCTGAGAAGCACAAGAATTTCAGCAAGAGAAGAGAATTTAATGGCAGTAACGGTGACCAAGAGGAGTAAGCCAGTCTCTGCTGGTGCATGGGCTCCTGTTCTGGACACAGCTACAAGGTGGGCACTGTGTGCTGCGTTTCACGGGAAGACACATGTCTGTTATCCACCACAAACCAGCACCCTTCTCACCCTTAAGAGGCCTTTAAGTGCTATGTATTTTAGGATCCTGGGGGCAAAGTGCTGGGAGCTGTCAGGAGCTGCCCACTCTCTTCTGAGGGGGTACTGCTGAGTTCCCGAACTCTTTACAGACCTTACGTCATATCACTGATAACTGAGCCACCTGGGAGATGGATGGTAGTGTGACTTGTCCCAAGTGAGAAAGCAAATCAGAAAGGAGCAAGGTTAGAACACATCTTTCATACTCCTGCAATCCACAGTAAAATATATTACCCTCTGTGTTTTTATGGTCAAACCAGAACTTCTCTGCTTCTCATCTATTATTTCTTTTCATTTAGCCCTTCCTGATCAGCAAATACCTATCTACTTAACTTCACCTTAACAAATTCCTTAGCTCTCTGCAATCATAAACCATCACAACTTTTACAAGCTGAACTGTTCATTCTGTTATCATGGGAAGATGTAGTCAAGAAGTGTGACACCAACAGGAAGACCAAGTAGAGCACCTTTCGGGTGATGGCATAGTGTCCTTTAAGCTCATGCAGGGCCCACTTAATGTCCTGACTACTGAGCATTTTGAAGTCAGCCATAAGGAGGTCGGCGGCTTGGATGAAGCAGCGCTGGTCTAGAGGAGTCAACTTAGAATAGTCAAAAAAGTCTATTTTAGGCAACTGAAATGAGAGAGAAGCATAAAATTAGAGGCCAGACAGTAAATTTCTCATGTAGGGAAAATCATTTTAAGAATTACATGTAGAAGAAAATAACCTAATTTTTTCTAATTAATCTATAAGGAAGTTACCAGCCCTATAAGAGAGATGAGAAAATGGTGGCTCAGAGAGGTTAAACAAACCTATCCAGAGCCTACAGACTAGTTTTACTAGTTATAACTCGTGAAGAAATATAGTTGGGGATTTAAACCAATCTTTCAGCCACCTTCTTTCCATAAAATATTTACAAACAACTATTTTTTTTCCTATTATAGAACATATAAAAGAGATAGTCAAAAGAATTTGTGTGGAGTTGGAAGATCAAGCAACAGATCTTAATAAAGTTAGTTCTCAACCATACTTTACCATATAACACACTAAATGCCAGCTTGAATCACAAATAATGACAATGATTACAGTTTTTAAAAGCCAAACTGTTTACATCTTGATATGAGATTTGGGTTAAACAGGTGAATACACTGTATACCAATCTCACATCAAAAAAAAAAAAAAAAAAAAAAAAAAAAAGAGATTCAACTCTAGGCAATGATATGTATGCTGAAGTATTTACAGAGAAGTGTACTGATGCTTCTGCAACTTACTCTGAAACACATTTTAATGAAATGAAACATAACAAAGATGTGCTAATGAACAGACAGATGACATAGGTATGATAAAGAGGATACAGTAAACTGTTAACTTTTTAGTAGTACCGGTGTTGGGTATATCGGTAATCAATGTAAAAGTTTCAACTTTTCTTAAGGTTTGAAAATTTTCATAATAAAATGTTAGAATCCTAGCCAGTTCTTGTTTAGCTTTAGGAATTTGCTTTGTAGGATTAAAGATATGGAAGATTCGTTTAATCCTTTGTGGGAAAAGGAAGATAAGAATTATATGGAGAGGGAGGAGTTAAAGACAGAATTCAAAGTGGCTCAGATTGGGAGATCCCACTGAAGTATAGATATATTCTGAAATCCTATATCCCTCTGCTAGTCTTTAAAAACTTGTCCCAACAAAGCACTTTCTTCCCACAGAGATAGCAACAAAAAAAGCAGGGCATTTCCAGGTAGCAAGACAAGAACACAACACTTGCCTTTGTCTCATCTTGGCTGGCCAGCAGACTGCTACTGGGATTTATAATGATTCTATCTTCTCTCTTTGGATAATCTGGATTTTCCAGAAGAAAATTACAAAGTCTGCAAAAACAAATGATGTTACTTTCACACTGCTTCCAAATTGCTTCCTACCCACTGCTTCAAATGCAATGTCTGAAGAATAGAGTCCCTAGTCACACATTACAACTGGCCTATCAAGAAATTAAGATGTTGGTAGCCCAAAAAACTAAACAAATAACTGCATTGAATTCCTATCTTTGGGAAAGATACAAAATTTAAAAAGCAATGAACATACTGATGAAAACAAAATCCTCTTATCTATCAGTTGGGTGTTGAGGTAATGAAGTCACTGAAACTATTAATTGGAAAATTTGTAAAAGTAGCTACTGTTTGTCGAGAAAACTATGAACAAATAAGAAGTGGGAAACTGTGTATTCACATTTATAATAAAAAATAGTCTGTTAAGAGATGTAATAAATAAATGAAATATAAAAGACCTTCTGTTAATTCATTAATACTTTTTATACCCCCATGGTGACATAAAACTCTATGGTAAGATAAAGCTCTATGAGCCATCTGAGTTACACTTGGTTTATTTAGCTAACTGCTAAACCAGACTGATGACTAGATCATGTTTTCCTATGAACAGACTCTCTTCACAACAAACCCACTAGCTTTTTCTATTATCATCGTGAAATACTTCCAAAGTAAGGATATACAGTGTGAGATAACACACAATGATGTATCACCACCCAGACCCAACAAATATTAACCATCCAGGCTCTTCACAGTCAAATCAGACAACCACCTTGGAATGACTGCACAGTAGTGAAGACAGAGTGGGTGGGGTGCAGCTCCAGCCACATTCAGCAGCAAGGAAGCTTCTTTGCTCAGAGGGTAATGGGAATTTCCTCTTTTCTCTACTTCTTCCTCTTACTCCAGTAGATTCCTAGGATGACCCCCCCAGGTGTCACACCTGCAATTCTCACACATCTCCCTTTTTACCAGTTCTCTTTTGCCAGATGTCAATAGTAAGGCCTATAATAGTAGGGTAGGAGGTCTGACAGAAAAGCCGGGAGAGAAAAAGTGCCCAGCTCCAGCTCCTTTTCTCACCCAGGTGCCAGTGTTTGGGGCATGGTTTGGAAAAGTTCATTTATTCTGCAACCCCTGCCAGGGCCCCCATGTCAAAGCCCTCTCCCTCATCCTGACATCTCAATACATTTCCCTTTGTTGTTATTTCCAGGAGTCCCATATGCTTTTTATCTCTAAGCTCCCACTTTCCCTACCACCACAGCCTGCCCAGTCTACAGAACACAACGTCAGAGGCCCAAAGAGGGAGAAAAAGCAGCATCCTTCTCCTATTACAGAGACAAGAATTCTGAGTACATTTTCCTTTAAAACCACTGTCATCAGTGGTAATTCTGTCCTAGAATTTACTAGTGTGCACTGAAGTTACGCAAATCTTTGAAGGCCGACCTGAGAATTAGCCACCAGCAAAAATCCCGTCTGTGGGGAAAGGCCCGAGTTCCAGGCAACTCATTACGTGTGCATATTCAACATGGTTACAAACCAGACACAGACTAGCTTTAAAATTGTCTGTTTTTATGTGTTTTCTCAAGTACGTGATACATAAGTACACCTCTATATGATATATAGGTGGAATAGTAGATATGATTTCTTGAAAAAAAAAAAAGAAAGAAAAAAACATGTTTGAGAGGGTCATCTCTTTCCAATTCGTATTTTCAACAATATTAAGAACTTTAGATACTGAAATGTTACAGATATGAAGTTCCACACAGAAGAAATCAGAAGCTCTCACTAGACACTGTCAAAATTCACTTCTAGTTTAATCCCTTCAGTATCCTTACCAAGGGAATTCTTCTGAAGGTTAAGTGACATTTGGAAGCACAGAAAATGAAGGACAAAGATTTTCCTCTACAGAAACAAGTGGTAGCCTCTGTTCTAATATCTGCACTCTGGGGCAAAAGCAGTGGGGAAGCCTGTCGGACTTCAATCTGCCCAGCTCTTCACATGATCTCATGCTTGGGCTGACCTGACATGCTAGCAGATCTAGAGAAGGCACTCCTGCAAGAGTAAGTCAGGCTAGTAATCCAACCTTGCAACTCTTTGAGAGTTGTTGCTGCCTTCATCCAACTGAAGCTGACCACGTGTGTGAGTGAAAGGTCTAAGTTAACCAGCCAGAATAGACTACCTGCCATGTGAAGTTCTCTGATGAATAGGCCCTTGCTGCTTAAAGTGGCCAGATGGCTGGGTGCGGTGGCTCACACCTGTAATACTAGCACTTTGGGAGGCCGAGGCAGGTGGATCACAGGGTCAAGAGATGGAGACCATCCTGGCCAACACGGTGAAACCCTGTCTCTACTAAAAATACAAAAATTAGCTGGGTATGGTGGCACATGACTGTAATCCCAGCTACTTGGGATGCTGAGGCAGGAGAATCACTTGAACCTGGGAGGTGGAGATTGCAGTAAGCCAAGATCGCACCACTGCACTCCTGCCGGGTGACAGAAAAGGCCACATGGTTCCATCTGAAGGTCATTTAAAGACGCACATAAAGCAACTAAGACTGAGGTACAACAAAATCCCAGCCTGCTCAACTCAGCTTTGGGCTTCACTTCCAGTTTACATTAACAACATTTTAGTTTAGTTGTGAAATTAATATTGTCCTAGGAGCCCAGGGACTAATGGAAAGGAAAGCAGTGTCAGGAAAACAAGATTGGCTTGAAAAGATGCAATACTATTACTGTACATTCCCTTGCTTTTTGGATTTCATGGGTATTTTTATGTGTTTAAGGATCAGTGTTTGCTTCTGAGTGACACAAAAAGCACAGAGAGTCAGCAAGTCCCTAAAAATAAGTACATGTGTAAGACTTAGGAAGTAGGAGAACAGAACTGTAACAGGCGTCAATTTGATTATATTTTAATGATGTTTTATAATCTTGAAGATATATAAAACATGATGTTCATTCACAGAAGGGGAGGGAAATATTAAAATATACTCAATTTATATGAGGTTAAGTTGTTAAAAAATACTAAAACATGGTATCTGGTATTCAAATCACTATTATATAAATAAGCTAAGTTTATACTTTTTCTATCATTTACATTTTCTGTAATTAAACAAGTATTATATTTGATAACTAGAAAAACATTACCCCCCAAAAAAAGGAATTCAAAGAGAGAAGTAAACAATTCACATGCAAGGGAGATACAGTTAGTAAATAAATATATGAAAAACACAGCCAGTTATCAAAGATATGTCACCAAGATATGTCACCTAGACTACTTTATGCCTAGTTAACAACTACAAAAAAATAACATCCTAATTCAGTACTGCTGAATAACTGTTAAAGCAATTCACACATATAAGTTGCTTTTTAGATGACTGGAAGCCTACAAGAAATTTTTCATTGTAAAAAGGTAGTCATCACTGCTCAATTTTGCTGTAAACCTAAAACTGCTGTAAAAAATAAAGCTCTATTAAAAATACAAAAACTAGGGCCGGGCGCGGTGGCTCAAGCCTGTAATCCCAGCACTTTGGGAGGCCGAGGCGGATGGATCACAAGGTCAAGAGATCAAGACCATCCTGGTCAACATGGTGAAACCCCGTCTCTACTAAAAATACAAAAAATTAGCTGGGCATGGTGGCACGTGCCTGTAATCCCAGCTACTCA